CCAGTTATGAATCCAACCTTGTTCTTGGCGAAAAGCAAGTTCTTCATCTCTTGGGCCCGGTCATTATAGTTGTTGTCGGTTAGGACGTCGTTAACTTGCATTTGCCTAGGGTACTCTGATGCATGGATGTAGTAGGGAGAATTGGAATCGATGGGAGTTCCATCGAGTTCCTTTGAGGATTCTGGTCTCTCACCGGTCATCTCCGGTTAGGTTCGTCGCAAGCCTGTGGAGCCTGCTCTGATACCATGAAAATTTTAGTGGTTTTAAAAGTTACATTTCATTCAACTATCAAATGGTTTATATACAATGAGTTCTTGATCAACGATAAGATAAAGATAACAACTAGCTAATGGATAAAGATAACAACTAGCTAATGGATAATAACCATGGATAAATTAGATATTCCAGGAAACGATAACTCTTCAAATTCCTTTATCTTATATCTGAATTTTTAAGAGGCTGCTTCTTAATTTCTCAATTAAGAGGTAAACAAACAGCCCCTAAGTATAGTAAATATCAAAGGACTCCAAAATTTTGGTTCGCTTAGAGCCTCAAACTTGTTGAGTCGGCCCTGTAATCGGTATATAAAGTTTGGTAGCAACGTGAATTCCTCTTTATTAGGTTCTAACTAGGATGCGGCTACATAATACAAGTGAAAATGTATATGTTTGGATGTCGGTAGCAAAAAAGACATCAAAAATTTTTCATGATCCCCTTGCCAAGCGTAATAGGTCATACTCTATTCAAGAGTCGGATTAATTATTGCACCAGCAATTAGCTGGCATGCTTCAAGTTTTTAAAGAAACAATGACCTTTATCGACCTCTATTTGACAACATGTTGCTTGATTCTTAATCGAGAAAATTAATGACATCAAATTTAAATGAATATTAAATGTGAAGCAACATGAATCGTGATATGGTAAGCCAATGAAATCAAATTTTTATATAGTTTTTTTTTTTACATGTTTCATTGTCTTGAATCCAACTATAAATGTCAGAGCATAAAGAATTTATATGAGAATATAGATTTACATGATGAAGACCGTGATTTTGCATAAACATAAAGAAACAATAATTTTTTACAAATTATTCGACATTTATCTAGTGAAATATGATTCAAACAATAGTGCAATACATGACCTTTTGAGGGTCTCAACGGAAAGGGTGTCATTTGATGTCGATAATGACGATGCCTATAGGTTCTATAACAATTTATGAAATTTGGAAGTTGGAACTAGTTTTTTTAGTACATATGATTTTTTTATTTTTGGATATTTTGACTTGGCAAAAAGAAAATGAACCACATTTGTTAGATTTCATGAATCATGATCTGTGATTTACTACTCGTCCAAATTTCTACATTAGCTTTGGAATCAGTGAACCATCTATTGCCAGAGTGAACTACCCAAACTGTTTGAAGCAAATACGTGATCAATAAACTCGATATGTATAATGTATTTTAGGGGGTGTTTGGGTTGTCTTTTTGAGAGGTAAAAATCTTTTTTGGAAAAGTTACAAAAAGTCACGTTTTCCTAACTTTTTCAAAAAATCACTTTTCATTCTTTCTAAAATCCAAAAGTCACTTTTAAAATATTTTTACCAAACATTTTTTGCCCTTTATCTTTTCCAAAAAAGATTTTTACCTTTCAAAAAGACAAGTCAAACACCCCCTTAGATATGGAGCACATAAGTGAGTTAAGACCCAACCCTCCATCATTCAACTTAGCATTGGTCGTTAACCAATTTAAGCTAAATTTTTACCCCTAAAATATAAACTTCAGTAGGTACAAAATTATTCCGCCATATAGAAACGTCGTCTCTCATAGTCGGAGTGAACAACTTGATAAATTGCTTTGTGAACCAATAGAAAAAAAAAATACTTGAATCCTCAAAATTCCAAAACCACTTATTAGGTAGATAAGTAAAGAGAAAACCATGTGATAAGGTAACCAATTTTGCCTATCGCAACCCCACCCCTCGATTGACTCCTCTAGTTTCGAACCCTAAGATCTTAATTATGTCGCGAACCAACTAGACAATTTTATCTATATCCAAAAATATAGTCTAGAAAGTAAGTACACATAGGAGTATCTCCAATCAAATATCATCTTTAACACATGGTTAATTTCTATTACCTAATTTCCTATGTAAATAAAGAGACAATTAAATACATTTTAGTAAAGATGGTTGGAAGATAAAATAATATTGTAATGTTTACTACAAACTTTTGGTCTAAAAAGTAGTCAAACCAAAACCCTCGTCAAAGTCATGAATACCTTTCATAACCGAGGACCGAAGAGAGTTTAGTTGTGAAAAAATATTCATCTTCATTTTGAAAGCATCGCAAGGTTGGCAACAATTAAGTTACAAATTTCCAAACCACCATAATAATTCAGAGCTAGAAATTTTTTCCACTTTATGTAACATCCCAAATACCGATGAAAATTTTCATTTAAAAGCATCAGATACATAAAACAATTTGTTCTAAAACCAATCGGAATAAAATGTGTCTTTCAAACATCATAGTAAAACATTAATAATCAATGTGGATAAGCCATCAGGGGATATTGTACAGTCAATCCGAGTCATTCCCTTTGGAACTGGAAGTACCAAAAAATGTAAGCATAAAACTTAGTGAGTTTCCCAAAATGTAAGCACAAAACTTAGTGAGTTTTCCACAATATTATATTCCATATATACATTGTCATTGGCTACCCTCATGGTCTGCATACAAGTGTCATGGACTACTCCCATGGTTTTTCATACAATTGTCATTGGCTACCTCATGGTCTTTCCTTACATTTCCATTGCTACCCCATGGTCTTATATACAAGTTACATGGGCTACCCTCATGGTCTTCCATATGAATTCCACAGGCTACCCCTAGAGGTCTTCCATTCAAGTATCATAAAGACAACTAGCATCCTACATATAACTGTCAGGGTCGAGACCCTGGTCTTGCTTACAATTATCGGGAGCCACATCCTTGTATTTCATATAATTGTCAGGGGCCACCATCTGGTCTACCTACATGGTATATTGAGAAGACTTACATTGCTGCTGAAATAAATAGCTAACAACTCTCACAACCAATGAACGGGTGTTATACACCTCCTAATAAACAACACAAGGTAAACCCTAAGTCTACCTTTTAAAACCAGAAATTTGACCAAAAGTCAACCCATACCAAAAGTTAACGGTTAAAGTCAAAGTCAATAGCTAAAGTCAACAGTTGATATTCATGTTGTGACCAGTCCATGGTCACGTCCTGGCCAACAACTCAGCCTCAATCCACAAATCCATATTCGAACCACTCACTCGCAATCAAAAACCTTGTCACATCGTGATAGTCATACCATCATGTCGTGATAGAATATGTCCAAAATAGTCGGGAAAATTCCATCCTCACTTCGTGACCTCCATATGGTCACGTCGTGACTATTGCATTTTAGGGAAACTTAATGCATTCAGCCCTTAATCCATTAAGATATCCATTCCAACTTCCACCACATGAAGAAAATGGATAAAGAACTTAGATCTAGAAACATGCAACCAAAAAGCTTGAATCTTGGACACTTACAAAGGTCCATAATATGCACAAGAGGATGATGATGAAGGATCAACACACTAGAACCCCTTCTTCTTCAAGTTACCAAAAACACCAAAATGAGCCAAGAATTACCAAAAGGATTGGGGTTAGGATTTTTGAGGTTTGAGAATGATGGAGACTAAAAATGAAACCTTAAACCCAATATTAGGGTAAATACGAAGGAAACCCTAAAAGATCATGGCCTTGGGTTGCAGCTCATGTCATGTCGTGACTATACTCGTATCATGTCGTGACACTCTTCCGAATACGCGTTATCATATTAGCTCGTCACGTTATGACCTCCATATGGTCATATCGTGACACACAATTTTTTTTCCCAAAAACCATGTGTTTGATTCCTTTGTGCCCTACACGAATCCATTATGGAAAAAGGGTGTTACACTTTATATAACACATCTCCCTATCTCCGGACTTTCCTTCCCAAAAGAATTGACAATGTAATATTTCCAAATATTTCAAGACTATCTTTAGAGCTATAAAAAAGAAAAAAACAATACAATCTCAAAATGCACAAAATTGCTTTCAAAAGATTCATTTAGAACCCTTCAACGAGAAGTTCATTTTCCACCAATATATTTATTTAGGAATCGATCAATAATTGTCTTCAACCCTGGAATTTAGATATATTTCTTCCAATCGAAAAACATAGATAAGTAAAAGGAAAATTAATCAATCGACACCGGCTATGATATATCATTAGCCTATTCGAAAGAGACACAAGCACCCACAATGTTAATCTTTGCTTAGTTAATCTTTAAGCAAAAAAAAAAGAAGAAGAAAAAACACTGAAGTATAAGGATATTCCTTATAGTTTCTTAATACCTATCTCTAAGAATAATAGCATCATCCGCAGATGAAAATGGGAAATAACCAAGCCATAGACTTCAATATGAAACCACTGCAAATATTCCACGTCATAGCTTCTTTATAAGCAACATGAAGACCCTTTATGGCTAGAACATTAAAAAAATGATCACCTTGTCTTGATTCTTATTTAATCCCTCGTTTAATAGATAACTCATATGTAGGAGATTCGTTGATTAGAACCAAGGTTATTTAATCCCTCGTTTAATAGATAACTCATATGTAGGAGATTCGTTGATTAGAACCAAGGTTATTGAAGAAGTCATACATGCACGAACCCACTCCTAAATGTACACAATAAGCAAAAACTGGACAAAATTGTAAAAATTGTTAATGTGGTTCACAATGAATATATGAAGCAATAATTTCATGCTTTAATAAGAGTACAAAACTCCAATCTCCAAAAACATTCCAACATCAAATTACAAAAATGTAAAAGCTTCCATACAAAAACACAAATATTTGTTCAATTGATTCAACAATTTTGAGTTATTATCAAGTCAAAAAACATGTAAAAAGTTTTTATTATTTTAATTCACGGATCTGTTGCCTTATAGTGCGAGCACAATCTGCAAAATTCTTGACAAGGGTACTGCATTTCAACGGGTCTTTGACATTTTCTTTATAGCAATCCAAACAAGCGGTCAAATCGGTCAAACATGGCATAGGTTTTGCTTCCGGAAGCTTAAACTCTTTTTCATGAAGCTCTTTTGCCTTTTGTGTCACTTCAAACAACATTGCATCTTCTTGCTTTTGTAGTTTTTCCAAAACCCTCTCACTGTCTTCAAGAACAGAACGAATGGCATTCACCTCAGGTGGTGAAGGTGGTGGAATTGGGAGGTACATTGGCGGCCATGTGGCAGCAGTTGGTGGTGGTGGTGGTGGAGGTGGTGTTGGGATTGGGTGTTGTTGGGGAGTTTTGGGTTTTGGTTTTCTTGTTTTTTTCTTTACCTTGTTGGTGTTGTCTGCTAGCTGTTTGACTAAGTTTCCACTTATTTGAATGGTAAATGCATCATCCATGGCTTTTGATCCTTCAAAAAAAAAACCATTTGTTTCAAGCAAATATAGATCACATTGAAATTCTTTTGTTTTCTTTGTTGAGTTCATTGATTTACACCTAATGTAAATGGGAGCTCACTACCCTTATTGTTCAACTGTTTCTGTAGACTTAAAGCTTATCATACATATCAATAATCAGTAATCACAACATAACAGTTTGTAGAGATTCAGTTTGAAGATGATCATGTTCGATAACATTTTGAAACGAATCAAACGCAAAATCATAATGCAATTGCTGAAAATCTGTTGACTAAAGAAAACCGTGATTACAATAATCGCTGAACAAATTCAGTACCATTGAAGAGGATCAAACACCTTCAACATAATCAGTCAGGAACCAAAACACAAACGGATTGACGAATTACAGTATTATAAAGATCAGTCAGTTTCATTAGTTCGTATGACCAAAATACTAAATTCAAACCAAACCCTAGATAACCTAATTACGCAAATAAAAAGAACAAAACCGGTGGTGAGTACCGGTAGAATGTAAATAGAGATGCAATCGACACAAATCACGAAATTTAGATATTGTTGAGAAATGATTTACCTGATTAAACCGAGGAATGAGGAACTTGAATGCGGTTCAACTGTTTAAGAGCTAATCTGTACCTGTAGTACTAAAAAATTTCCCGCCTATGGCTTGGGTTTGGAACGCTGCTTCGATATGGACGATTTCGTTTCGGATTTTATTCGTAAAGATTTTGTTTCCCCAATTTCTCTTCGGCGTCGCTCCTCCGCCTGCTTAAGCTAATGATGCGTCGTCTCTTTGATCTCGCTCCTACAATGTGCAGAATATTGGGCTATTCTCAAGATTGGGCCTTGGGCGATGACCCAAAAGGTCAACAACCAAGCTGCCAATGGATTTTAAAAAGATAAAGATTATAAAGGTAATTAGATTTGTATATATTTGGTTGTTGATTTTTTTTTTTTTTCATATTTGTTTCTTTAACGTGTTTAGTTGTACATATTCTCTTTTGTCCTTGTTGAGTTTATCTGTGCATTTTAGTCCTTGAGTTATATGTGGGGTGTACCATAAGGTACGCTTAGCGTACAAGCTGGAAAGCGAGTACGCGGGGGGTACCAAATGGTACGCTTAGCGTACTCATGCAAAGGTTTGGACGGGGTTCCCGGTGCATACGTGGGGCGTATGCTTGGCTTAATGAAAACCCTAAAAACCCTTATTTTCTCATCCTCATCTGCCCTCCTAGCCTTATACTCAAAACCCTAAGCTTCTCTCTTGCATTTTGAGCTTATAGTGTCCATTTTGGTGTATTTTGATCCATATTTAAGAAGTAGATGTTTGGTGCAAGGTGGTGGATCAAGGAGGGGCTTGTGGATCTCAACCTTTTGCTTCATTTCCAGCTTATTTGAGGTAAAAAACTATGAACTTGATCAATGATGGTTTAGATCTCTTATGTTTGAGTTTTTGTCCATTTTTGGCCCATAAATGAGATCTAGTGGTTTGATACCACTCTAGGAGCTTTGAGTTGTCACTCTTGGTGTTTTTGAGGTTCTAGATGCATAAAGTTGTCACCTTTAAGGGTTAGATCCATCCATGCATGAGTTTATGCCATTTTTGTTAAAGTATAATGTTATATTTTGAAGTTAGGATCTTTTGGGGCATGCAAAGTCACCAAGTCAGTGACTTTATAGTTCCAGACTTCTTTTAGGGCTTAGATATGTGTTTTAGGCTTTTGGTCTTAAGCATTAAGAGCTTAAGACTTATTTTTGGCTTAATGACTTCGTACGTTGGGTGTACAAGTCCGTACTCACGGCGTACAACCCAGGTTGCATGTACGCTTAACGTACAGCCGAGTACGCACCACATACTCAGTCTGTTGGGTTTCGCATCTTGTAGGCCTCAATTGGGTCACTTCTTTGGACCCTGTTGATTTGGGCCTTAATGAGACATCCTGAATCAAGATTTTAAGGGAAATTATTAGGCTTTTAGGTAAGGCGCATATAAGGGGTTTAGGCCTAATTTGGAAAATTAGGCCATAAATGGGCCATGAATGATTATTTGGTTTTAGGTTTTTTAGATTGTGGACTTGGGCCTTAGTTTTGGATCACACTAAATGGTCATTTTACCCCAAGTATAGATTATTGGATATAGATTGGAACCTAAGTGTCAATTGTGTATTGTTTTGTACTGATAGCTTGGGGAGTCGTCAGGACTGCAGTTAGGGATCTTCTGTGAGATTTAACATTCGAGGTAAGTTTCCTCACCAAGTATAACGAGTCGAAGGCACCAATACCGACCCATGATTTAACTTGTTAAAATACTCGTTGTTTGTGTGACACTTGTATGTGTATATGCTTGTATGCTTTCTAGGTGGGGCCTAATGATTATCTGTATGCTATTAGTTGTTATGTGTTATGATTTATATGTGGGCGTGGCCCGTTATCTGAGTTAGGGTAGAGCCCGTTATACTCATTGGGCGAGGCCCGTTATGTGAGTTTGGCGGCGCCCGTTATGTTAGTTAGGGTGGGGCCCATTATACTCTTTGGGCGGGGCCCTTTATATGTTATGAATGTATGTTATGCGGTATCTTGGGGAACTCACTAAGCTTTGTGCTTACGGTTTTTAGTTTATGTTTCAGGTACTTCCAGTTCCAAATGGAAGAGCTCGGGTTAACTGTATTGCACACACCATATGGATTCCACATTTGAGATTTCACTTTGATTTTTATGATGTTTGATACACTTATTTTATTCGAGTTGTATGAATAATGTTGGAATACTGTTTTTACTTAAATGAAAAAATGAAAATTTTGGATCATATTTTTGGGACGTTACAGTAATATATTTCTCAAATTTTGCACATTTAGTTTGTAATATTTTTTTTGCATATTTAATCATTAATATTTTTTGTTGTCAAATAAGTCCTTGGTATTTTTGTACACATTTAATACTTATGAACAATTTCATTAGGTTTTTTTCTCATGGCATCTTACATGGGACAATCATTAATGAGGTGTTCGAGGTTGTTCACGTTTATGGCCACCGTGACCTCGATTGCTTGGCGTTTAGGTCTTATATTTAGAATGTCGTAACTTCTTCATACGTCGCAATCAACCAGCCGAGATCGTGGTTTCCATAAGCATCAACAACCCCAAACATCTCATTAATGATTGTCCTACATAACATGTCGTGAGAAAAAACTAAAGAAACTCGTCATAAGTGCTGAATGTGTACAAAAAGTCAAAAACAACAATGACTTATTTTGCAATAAAAAATCCCGACATCCCCAATTTTCAGAACCGGAAAAAAATATTGACGCTTTCAAAACTCATAATATCTTTTATTTGCGAAAATTCCCAATATTAAAATATTTTTGTTACAATTGATTGTACCAAAATATCAAAACTGTAAGGATGTCATAATCGATACACAACATATGTTACTACGTAAAGACCTAATGACCCTGGACACTAATGCACATCTTTTCTTAAGTGACTCAACATCATATTCAAGTCTTCAACAATCTTATCACAACTACCCGTGATGCATATAAACTGAGTGAGTCAGGTTGGTAAACCCGTTAAGATATATAGGGTTTTCAATTTCACAACTCAATGATGATAATATATATATATATATATATATATATATATATATATATATATATATATAGAGAGAGAGAGAGAGAGAGAGAGTTAGGTTCAAATTTTTTCAACAAGTATTGTGTCCATGGATGCACTAATCACAATTTAGCAAATTATTAATTAATTTATTTAATCCATGAGGGTAATTATGTAATCTTTCATTTTAATTCTTTATTTGGTCTGATTCTTAGCCCTTTATATTAGGCAATGATTTATAATTGATTTAGTTATCTTTATTTTATTTTTCACTATATAATCTATTCTAACGTCCCCCCCCCCCCCCCCCACACACACACACACAAACACAGATCACAATTGTCGATTCTGTTACTTGCTAATCAATTTGTTTGATCAATTTGTTTTACACATTCAATGGATGTTCATACTGGAAATCGGAACCAGGTATTGCTACATAGTTACCAACATCTGTATATGATAACGAAGATATTGTTTCAAACGTCCCCCCCCCCCACACACACACACATACACACTTTTTCTATTTTTACATATACATATGTATGAAATCTGATAATCTTCCAGGATAATGAAGATCAAAATCCCGAGAAGGAGCTGTGTAATGTAAATGATCCCAAGAATCCCGTGAATGAAGTTGTGAATAAAAAAAACGACGATGTAAAACATGCTTTGGAGTTGGTCATGATAGTAGGAACTGTTCTTTTGGATTGAAGAAATCATAGATCTACAAGAAATTCATGAAATTGGTCGTTTTTAGATATTATTTAATTTGATTTTAGTAAAATAAAAGTATGTTTTTGATGAATTATATGGTGTTATTAAGTTTCAGATCAGTGTAATAAATTTGTCGTTTGATGAATTCTATGTGTGGCTTTCTTTAATTATTATGGTTAAAACTAATAAGATGTTCGTGTTTCTGCTATATTTATGTTTCATATGATCATACAGTTTATGGTTAAAACTTATTTTCTCATTCCAACATTATGTCAAAAAACAATGTTCATTAAATTTCATTCAATTTGTTTGATGTTTCATAAAATCAACACACATAATGTTAAAAATTGGGAATTGTAAACATTTTTTGTTAGTGATATCTATTTATTATTCTAACAGAATGATATTCAATGTGTGCATTGATTGGAGCTAACACAAATTGATAAGTTTTATAAGTCTATTTGCAAGGATATTCTAATAGAATTATTT